CGGCCGCGGCGCTCGCTTTGCTGCTCCTGCGCGGGCGTTTTGGCCTCGAGAGGCGGCAAAGCCGCCACGTCCCGTTGGACGCGACCTCGCTTGGGTACGCGGCGGCGTGCGTGGAGGCCCTGACGGAAGGACGGATTTCCAGACAGAACCTTCTGCGCCTTCCCGACCTCTGGGACGAGTGCGCGGCGGAGATCGGGGAGTGGCGGGCGCAGGTGCTTCCTTTGTTGGCCGAGGCCAAGAAGTATGTCAAGACCCATCATAATAGTGACCTCAATAAGGTGCTTACCTTTAACTCGTAATACATTTACCGCATCATAAGCAGTAGCTTGAAGAAGCGATCGGTGTCAAGTTCGACAGCCTAGTCATATCGGTGTTTCTGTTATATATATATATATATATGAACTATATGCATGGTGATTCACATTTCACTTTGGTTCTTTCTTTTATTCGACCGAGAAGCTTGAAGAGCTTTTTTCAGAGAGTTCTGAGGTACCCAACCTCTCGTCTTTTCTATTTCTAAGTGCCACTTTTTCACGACTCTCCTGTCTATTGAGTAACCAGTGTGTGCCTCTACAAAACTTATCGAACCCCAATCAATGTTTGCGTCGCTTTCCACAACCTTAATGGTTAGGTTAGCCCACTTTTTTTTTATCTAAAGCTATATTTTTGCTCTTTTTAACCCCCTCCTACCATTCATTTTAATTTTCTATGAATAAAAATTTACATATAAGTGCAGTATCATATTCAAGACGTGTAAACATCTTTATTCATAAAAGCATACATATACATATAAATATATACATTATATTTATATATAGGTATGCATATATTAGATGGCAAAAAATACATTTAAATGGCAGACATTCCCAGAACTGATCAGTGTCTCTGGTCAAGCAAAGGTTCACGAACCGATTTCAAACTCAGTTAGTACAACTCAACATGATGTTTGGGGCTACGTCGAGTACCCTGACGGGACGCTGTACGAGGGTTGGTGTCTGCGGGGCAACCCCAATGGCCATGGGATATTCTACTACGCCTCGGGTGATATATTTGTGGGTCAAATCAGTAAAGGGAACGTTAACGGCGATGGGACCGTTTTCTTCCAATCCGGTGACTTTTTTTTTGGTGAGTTCCGCGATGGCAGAATCTACAAGGGTCTATATGGTCGGAATAACTGCGAGGTGTCGGGGGTGTGGGAGGTCGATCGCTGCATCGAGGCGCAATTCGTTGCGCTGCCAGAGGGGCTCCAGCAGAAACATGGGTCACTCTTCTCGGTTATGTTATGCCATGTCCATCAGCATTTTTCCAACTACCGAATCTACGTCTCGCAGCTCAGAGGAACCATCAAGCCGGATCTAAACTTAAGGCCACCGCAGAAAATTCTGCCCATTCCACACGCTTCGGATTCCCGTTTTGGATGGTCCAGCGCCTCGCCGGTCCTGAGCACTTCGTTATCCCACGTCAATGCCCACCACGAGTGCAGCAAAAATACGTTGGATAGCGGGGCATTGAGGAATATGGTTCTAAATACCCCGGGCGGACTCTTCGCTAAGGGCCTGGTCATTCGGAAGGCGGGGGAACACGACACGATGAGTAAATGTGAGGATAGCCGCGATACGAGAATCTTGTGCGCGATGCAGTCGTTGCCCTATAATGTAATTTTTTCTTGCTCGGCCCCGGCCTGCAATGAGTACTTCTCCTCTCGACGCTACCAGCTGCGCTGCTTTGTCTTTTTGTTTCCTTTTCTTTCCTTTCCCTGGTCTCCGGTTGCCCCGCTACGGGTATCGACCGTTGATCAGGAGCGCGAGTTTGTCGTGAGTGGGGCGACGCTTCGGCAGGATTTCGATTCCATGAATCTGGCCATCAACAGCATCGCGGTGGCGGTGTGCTGCCAGATTCTGTCTATTCTCATTGTGATCTTCAAGACGAACATCGGTCATGTGAGTATGGGTTGTATTACAATAGTTGAGATGATCGTTCCGTGTGTGCTTTGGCTGGTGTTGGCGATGTTCTGCGCGGGGTACAACAGCTATTTTCGATATCCTCACTTTCTCGAGCGAATGGACCGCCAACTCACGCCCAAACTCTCGGCTTTCGCGGCGAGCATGGTGGATGCGCGGGCGAATGTGTGCATCAGCACATGGGACGAAGAGGGTCGCGGGAAGGTCATGAACCGCCACTACCTCTACCGCTGGGTGTTTTTTTCCCTGCTCTCTGGGATAATCTTCAGCTTGGCAGCACCGATCACGCGTGTGGTGTACGGCCATTCCCTCTTCAAATCTGGCTTTGCAATGTGCGCATTGCTCCTTTCCTCCTTCGCGACCTTTTTGTTCACCACCACACTTATGTATTACGTGTTCAAGATCACCGATATACAGCGGGAGATTGCGGCGAAGCTTCGTGTGCTTTCGGATTTAGCGTACATCGAAAAGCGGGGCATCATCCGACCGAGTATTTACATACGGCAGACTTTCGACATGGGCGCGCCTCTGGACACCAGCGACCTTCTGAATGGGTTCACGGGTTGGTATACGACGCGTTCCCTTATTCTTTATTGCTCTAGTTATTCGAACCACCTCTCGCGATCGGCCGCCATGAGTATCTTCGCGACGGTGATATTCATCCTTGGGGTAATGGGAATTATAAACGCCTTCAGCGTTTATTTTCTATACCCGCGGAACCACCCCAACCACAATATCATTGCCCACTCCTACGGCCTTTTGGTGTTTGTGATTTGGGGGATTCAACTGATTCGCTACATCAACGCGTCCGCGTGCACGCAGCGCGAGCTCAGCCACCACCAGTATATCATGAATTTGACCAGCATGTACCACCGCACGAAGCACCGCGACGTCGAGGCGAGCGCGATAATCAAACATTGCGGCGAGATGGCGACGTCGCACGACTTTGAGCCGCAGTGGTATAACTTCCCTATGTATCCCATCACGATGTTTTTGTTAGTTTTGCTAAACATTACGGCGTTCTCCGCGAGCGTTTTTCTACTGAGTCGCGAAATTTTTAAATAGCTCGCGCCTTATTTTGGCCTTCCCGAGGTGTGCGGGGGGGCGCTCACCGCGTGTGTCGGTTTGGCGTTAAGGACTCTTTTTTTTCAGGATAACCATAAGCCGTGCGGCGGTTTCATGGTCCCGTGCGGGTTGCCTTGCGGAGAGGCCTTTTTTCTACATTTT